CTCTGGTGTGCAGGCACTCAGGTTCTATGGAAGCACTGATGTAACAGTTACTGGCATAACCATACAGAACAGCCCCCAGACCCACCTCAAGTTTGATGATTGCACAAATGTTCAGGTTTCCAACTTCGCTGCTTCATCTCCTAGTAACAGTCCCAACACTGACGGTATTCACCTACAGAACCCCAGTGATGTGGTCATTTACAGCACCACTCTTGCCTGTGGTAATTGCAGATTTAGAGTAGTGTAACTACAATTTCATTCAGAACATTACAGATTCAGAAATCCAATACAGAACTAAATTCAACTATGAGCTTTATTGTTTTATTATACAGGAGATGATTGCGCATCTATACAAACCGGATGCTCCAACATACACATACACAATGTGAACTGTGGACCTGGACATGGAATTAGTATTGGAGGACTTGGAAAGGACAACACCAAAGCCTGTGTTTCAAATATCACTGTTCGAGATGTCAAGATACAGAATACATTAACTGGTGTCAGGATAAAGACATGGCAGGTAGGTATGACATTCTGTTTAGAACCTGACTTTACCCCTTGCTAGCTAGATTTTAACCATCAGAATGTCCCCACGCTTTTTCTTACAGGGAGGCTCTGGCTCAGTACAACAAGTCATGTTCGCAAACATTCAAGTCTCTGAAGTTGAAACCCCAATCATGATTGATCAATACTACTGCGACAAGAGCCAATGCAACAATCAAACTTCAGCTGTGGCTGTATCAGACATAAACTACATAAATATACAAGGGACCTACACAGTGCAATCTGTGCACCTTGCATGCAGCAACAGTCTGCCATGCACTAGTGTATCATTAAGCAACATTCAGCTAAAATCAGTTCAAGAAAACCACCATCTGGAAGAACCTTTCTGCTGGGAAGCATATGGAGAGCTGAAAACTGCAACAGTCCCTCCAATTAGCTGTTTGCAAACCGGAAAGCCTTCAAAAGCTGGAACTCAGTCTGATATTGATTCTTGCTGAAATAATAG